TTTTCCCCTTGTTCCTAGATACTTTGCATATCAAAGCATAGGAAAAAAGAAAACACAGGTTACTCAAAAAGTAGCCCAGCATCTGCGTTACAACACATTACTGAAGTTGTTGGTGTTTACTCTCTTTTTGTGAATTTCTACTACCTCCCATAAATGATAAATAGCATCTTTTCAGCATCTCAACATTTTGGTTAAGATATAGGAGGGTCTGTGTTGCATTCTGAATTACATTATGGTTCTTGAAAACTCTTGAGTCACTCACAGTAACACAGTTGGTCAGTAGTAGAATTATTTTGAAAATCTGAAAAAAATGAGTCAGCAAGGAAAAAGAGATAAAAGTTGTTCAACAAAATAAAAACCATGATTGCAGTAGTAGTATCAGACCGATCATTTATTTCTTATATATTACTTAGTTTTGAATTATGACCATAGAATATGAGCTAGTTTTTCACAATGAGGAAAGTAAAAATACTTTTGGAAGTGAACAATCAACAAGTTACCTGTAGAAATTAAAGGACTGACTTCCTTCTGGTTCACAGAGATGAACAGTGTTATTCTGAAATCAATGTGAGCTGGCTGTATTTGGTGGATTTCTTCCTGCAGCCTGATTTGGGACTCACTTTGATGCCCATTGAAATCAATGCAGATTCTTTCAGTGATATGATAGAACTTGAATTATGCCTTAAATTCTTATAGAACACTCATTGTGAGTGTGTAAGTAATTTAATGTATAAGCTTACCAAATGTTTCCAGAGTGCAGATTTGACAAATAACACATCATGCTTTTGACCAGTTGATTTGATCATGATGGAGAAAAATCAATGATAAATAAAGACGTTGCAGAAGTATAATATGCAGTCCATAAGAAGCCCCAGATATAATAAGTCATACACTGATACCAAATGTTTCTGTGTCATTTGAGGACAGAAAATACAATAATCTTCTACTGTCTCTTCTCACCAGGCACAGACAGAGATTGGTCCTGTTCAGAAGTTGGAGAATGAACATAGGAGTAACCTCTCAGAGGTCTTACCAGGTTTTTTTGAAACTGTGATTTGAAACCTCAGAATTCTACTGTTTTTCCTTTTGCTTTCATTCAGCAGGAGGGAGGAAAAAAAAAATAATTATTTTTTAAACACTTTTGTCCCCAAAATGCCTTTTGATTTTTGGTTGTTTTCTGGGGGTTTTTTTAAGTCAGAGTACATACATGCAGTGGTTTTGAAATGGAGTTTTATGCATGGTGGGAGAGTCATTCTGTCAGTAGTTCCTCAGGCAGGGTTGTTTTAGCTTAGTTCTGTGTAATAATAGGACTGAAGTTGTTTTAAGTGTATTTTGCCCAGTGAGAGACTTAACCATGAGACTTAACCTCAACTTCACTTTGAACAGACCCTAAGGTAAATGTTACAGTGATAACAGAAAAAAAAAAAAAAAAGAAAACTGAAGTTTAATATGTTCTCATTAATTCCATAGTAGCTGTTTCCCATGGAGCATATGGGGAATAGAATGTAAAAATAATAATATATTAAAAGAAAATGTTTAGGGAAGAAAAGAAAGGAGTTAACAAAATACTCAGTTCCTTTTCTTCTCACTCTTTTTATCAGAAGGAATTAAACACTTGATACTCTTACCGGTAAGACTCTGGTTCAAAGACAGTGTGCTAAAATGTGTGATTTAGTCCCCATGTCTGCAAATGTTTTCACTGAGATTAAGAGCCTAAGCAGACCAGACCAGAACCATCAAGTGGAAGATTTTTCTAATACACCATGAAAGAATTTCAGGTTATATTTGCCCATAAATGATGATGAAAATTTTCTTTTCATTCGTTCTAGAACAATAGATGGTAGTTTTAATCTGCAGACAAGTTCTATGTGTATAAATTATGCCACTTTAGTCTCATCCTTCATTCTGTTTTACAGTTGATACAGTAGTATCATACATGGTCAAGGATATTTGTTTGATAAGCACTCCCCGTGCAAATATATATATTCTTCACAAGTTTTTCAAAACCTTAATTTCAAAACTGATTTTAATCTTTTATCCTTCCAGACTTATTGGTTATCACTATTAGCCATAACACTTATGGATATCCCTGTTAGTTACATAAATATTCCATCCAGATACTAACAGTATGTAAGTTGGAGAGGGCCTGCTGTACATACCAAGGGCCTAACTAACACTCTTCTCTTACATTCTTAAATTTCGTATAGGAAAATGAGGTAATGAGGTGCTGCAGTGATTTTTATTATTTCTTTCTTTGGTTCAGTGATTAATTATTTTCTAGATTCAGAGAGTGAAATATAAATTAGTATGCTTTACTACTTTACTTTTTTGAGCATCTAGTTCATTCCAAAGTGAAAACTGTCCTATATTAGTATGACCTTTTGAGATATCTCATAGCAGTACTATTGATCAATGACACAAGTTTTAGAAATAATGCATAGAAGCAGCCAGAATCTCAGCTGAAGTCTGTATAAATCTCATCTGTCTCTCTTAGTTGGAGTGATGCTGATGTTGCAATACTTATGCAAAATGGGGAAGAACTTGGCTGCTTTCATATCTCTAAATTTAGTATGTGGGTGGGCCAGGACACTGAACAGTTTATAACATCTCTGTACAGCAAAGTTAATAAATCCATTTTGTGTGTGAACCTCTGTAAACCTTTCGTCATCCATTAAGAATGTTTCTGGGCTGTTGACAGTAAGTGTCAGTAGCAAGAACGAGTGGAGGAAAACCTAATACACTTATTTCCTGTAACGTTAAAACCACTGTAATTATGGGTGGCTTGTCTGGCTTCTTTGGTAATTAAGAGGTTTAATTGCTTCTAGTTCCAGGGAATTAGTTAAGCTTTTCATTATGCATATTGCCTTCCATAAGCATTGGCTCCTCTCATACAGTAAGCTTAGTGGCATCACGGAAGTCAATTAGGTCTTTCAAGACAGAGCAATGAAGTACATTTCTTTGTATGGGCTGTATTAGAAAAGGTTTCTGAAAGGCCTTGATAATGCTGTTCTGTGCAACATTTAAGCTTACTCTTCAAAAGGCAAAGCCTGTCAGGGTTTAATTTTCTGCCCTCAGAGTCCTCAGGGTCATAAACTAAGGTATTAGAACAAAATCTATAGACAGAACCATGCTTCTGTTCTAATAGCAATTGTGCCAGGCTTTGCAGGAACGTCTGGTTACATATTTGTAGTTAATAATGGTGATAATGGTCAACATTTGAAAATACCACATTGTTCAAACTGGAATTCAGTGACTGTATAAAGGAAAAAGAGCACAAAAGAGATTGGTGTGATTCTGTTGACTCACTTAAAATCATGAATTAAGTTTTACTTTATTACATGCAAGGTAGAAAGTACCTCTTACCTTCTCTTGGCAGACTCCAATTGTTTGCTGACACATTGACAGGCAAGAATCAATATTCTAAAGAGAAAAGAAGGCAGAAAGGGTTCATTCCTTCTTCCTCTTCCACAGTCTCTCGTGCAAATGGGTGTATATAGTGCAGACATTTATTACATTTTGCAAAAATGTTTTCTTTGAACATAACTTTTTCACAGGTTTCAGCTTGATTCTCATAGAGCACAACCAGAACAGACAAACTTTGTGCATCCCTAATCTCCCCTGGTGAAATAGCTATGTGTTAGAGAGCCTAAAAGATACCAGTGTGCTGTTGTATGTTCTGCCAGTGTGTCATATCTGGATTCAGTCAAATGTTAAACTAAGTTTAGCAAATCATTACTCTTTACCCATGCTGTATTAGTTGCCACAGTCTATTGCATTGTGAAGAAAAAGATAAGAAAATCCATCCTGGGTATGTAGGAAGGGATTTTGTAGATCGATAATGACTGTAGAGAAGGACTTAATGCGTGAGAGAGAAATATGTGATAAGGCAGAGTTGCACTGTGTGAAGGCTGTGGGAAGATTGCACTAACCATCCCAACATCTGTGTTGAATTACTGAAATTACTTATGACAGTAATTTTGGTATTAGTAGTAGTAGCAGTGCTAATAATATTGATAATAAATGCAGTCTGAATTGCAGAAGTGTTAGAAGCCACTTGTAAGTGTAGGTCAAAATGGTTGGGTGCCAAAGATTGCTTTGAATTGTCCATGACCAGAAGTTCAAACTCAAGACTCGGTAATGTCAGGAAGAGATGCTTCATTATATACATTCAGGAATGAACTCCAGAAGCATTATCTTTTATTATATAAAAGTTCAGATGAGATTATTTTTTGTTATATTTATATTTATATGTTTATTATTCAATAGTCTGATGTTAAATTACAAAATACACATAAATAATGTATTGATTATTTTTAACAACTTTGCTTCCAAACTGTGATCTTGAATGATTGTGACTATTGTATGACATAGACCTTTTACCTGAATAAACTGTCTCTTCTCTAAAAATAACCTGCCAGTATAATTGCTGATTTTCCTTGTCACCGTTTCTTTAGAAGAATGAAGCAAATGGAGCATGAGTTCAGCAGCGCTTCTGACAAGTGATTTCTGTCTTACTCTCCACTCATCCAAACTTCTAATATTGACCTGGCTAGTGTAGTCTTCCCCCTCTTATGTATGTAGGATATGCCACACCTGTAAGTGAAAGCACTGCTTTTGCATTTTGCAGGTTGTAAAGTTGCTTGAACAGTTAAATTGCCTGCTTACAAAGGTATTCAAGAACTTGCTTAACTTTAAGCTTGTGCTTAAACTCATCCCTATATAAAACAAATCACTTAGGAACATCTGGATAACCAGTTGCTGGGATTTAAATATGCATGTTGATGGTTTTTTGAATTGAAATTAATTTAAGGTTAATTAACATGCAGATGTTTGAATTGAGATGTTTGCCCTTGTTCTGATTAGGGGGGTGTAAACCAGGAATTGAATTTACCTTTCCCACTAGTTCTATTCAGGATCATTCTTTCTTTTAAAACCAAACATTAAAAGTTCATAGTAACATTATCCTTTAATTTTTTTCCCCATATCTCCTTCTTTCTCAGTGTCTTGTGTTTGAAGATGCACCACTTGGAGTCAAAGGAGCCCTGGCAGCAGGAATGCAAGTGGTTATGATTCCAGATGAAAAATTACATCCAGATCTTAAAAAGGACGCAACACTACTGCTGAACTCCATGGAAGATTTCAAACCAGAACTGTTTGGTTTACCAGCGTATGATTAATGCCTAATGTCTGTGAACATGCACTTGATGGGAAATTGGGAAAGTGGAATGAAATTCTGTTATGATTTTATGATTGTTTTGCATCTTTTCCTCTCTTCCTCAAAACTAAAGCACAAAAATTCTGTTAACACCAAGTCTTCCACACAGTACCTTTGAAAGATGACTAGAATGTTTATGATTTGTCTCATGATAAATGGTAAATTAAAGCAGCATTTCATCTTGTGAAGTGAATCCAGCCTTGTTCCCTGCACATCATAGTATTTTTTTTCTGCACATCATAATGTTTGGTGGCCAGGTGCCCACCAAAGCCATTCTGTCACTCCCCCTTCTCAGCTGGACAGGGGAGAGAAAATATAACAAAAGGCTCATGGGTCAAGGAAAGCACAGAGTGAGATCACTCACCAATTACCATCATAGGCAAAACAGACTCGACTTGAGAAAATTATTTTATTACCAATCAAATGAGTAGGGTATTGAGAAATAAAGCCAAATTTTAAAACACCTTCTCCCCACCCCTCCCTTCTTTCTGGGCTTAACTTTACTCCCAATATTCTCTCTCTCCTCCCCCTCAGCCATGCAGGGGTATGGGGAATGGGGGTTCCAGTCAGTTCACATATCTTTGCCACTCCTTCCTCCTCAAGGGGAGGACTCTTCACACTCTTCCCGTCCTCCAGCGTGGGGTCCCTCCCATGGGAGAGTGTCCTCCACAACCTTCTCCAATGGGAGTCCTTCCCATAGGCTGCAGCTTTTCACAAACTGCTCCAGTGTGGGTCCCCCATGGAGTAACAAGTCCTGCCACAAAACCTGCTCCAGCATTGGCTCCTCTCTCCACGTGTCCACAGGTCCTGCCAGGAATCTGCTCCAGCGTGGGCTTCCCACAGGGTCACAGCCTCCTTCGGGGACATCTCTCCATCTGCAATAGTACAGTTTTCTTTTTCCTCTTCTTAAATATGTTATCCCAGAGGCGCTACCACCATCACTGATGGGTTCAGCCTAGGCCAGCACTGGGTCTGTCTTGGTCCCAGCTGGCACTGGCTCTGTCAGACATGGGGGAAGCTGCTAGCAGCTTCTCACAAAAGCCAGCCCTCTAGACCCTCCACTACCCAAACCTTGCCACACAACCCCAATATATCTGTGAACATTATGAAACTATTTAGACAGTTTATTATAACTACATTGGAAGCTTCTTGTTTTGTTTCCACTTGAATGACTTTCTGTTTAGAGCTTAACTAGAAATCTATTCTGGGTTGGCTTTTATCCCATTACTTTTTTTTTGATACAGTTATTGCTATCAGCATGTTTATCCATTTCCTCATACTGTACTTGCCCATCTATTCCCCTTTGTATAATGGGGGTGTTTTTTGCAGTTATTTGAAGGAGTTTTGTTATACTTTCTATGTTTTCTTACTTTGTTTTCTTCTTGGGGGTTGAATGAGATGAATTCCATAGGTCCCTTACAACTTCCATTATTCTATAATTCTGTCATTATCTTTTTTGGCATGGTTATCACCTGCTAGGAGCTATACAAGATTATGTGATCCTGCAGTTTAATCAAAATGCTTTGCATCTTTCTTCTTTCATTTCCTTGTATTCCTCTCATTTTCCATGTTGCTGTGTATCCTTCCCTTTCATTCTTGTGAAATGGGTCCATCCTGTCTTTCTTCAATTCTGACAAAGTTATGGCCTTAACTCCTTTGTATCCAAATAGCTTTCTGTAGGCCGTCTTTACTTTTCTCATCTTACCTCTTGAGCACTTTTTTTGCAAAGCTCCCTACAGAGAGTTTTGCTATCTATTTTCAAAATGCAGAAATTGTAGTTTTGGTTTATTTAAATACTTAAAATTTCTTTTCCAGGCTACCACAATTTCCACAAAATATTTCTGTTTTCTTCTGTCCTTCTTACTTCTGCCTGTGTCTAGCCCCTTGTCAGGACAAAGGTCAGGGTCTTTTAGGAAAACACTTGACATGTAGACAGGTTTTGGTGGAATCCACAAGTACATGTATGACATGGTAGAAGCAATGTCTTTTACTTTGTCTAAAGAAAGCTATATTATGTAGGGTTTAAGACGGTTTTATAAAATGAATGCTTGTATTCAGCATTTGAAGACCTAAATTTCTAATTAAGTGTCCATAATGTAATCCAAAATATTAGTAAAATGTCAAGCTTCATAAAGACAAGGAGTGAATATTTCAAAGAGACTTCCTTGTATCATGGAAGACTTCTTTGACCTTTTTTTAACTATGATCTTCCTCACAAAAATCTTTTCTAGACATTTTGGTGTTCTAACTGGTTTAAGTTTAAGGTTTCTCCTCAGGAACAAAAATTAATGAATTATAGACACTTCAGTATTCAGGGTGAGTTTCCTTATGTTGTTTTCCTCCTAGATTAAAAAAAAAAAAACAAAAAACCCAAAAAACAACAAAACCAAACAAACAAAAACCAAAACAAACAAACAAAAACAAAACCAAAATTTTACGTATTTTATGTGGACTGTTAGTATTTTCTGTTACTGTAGTCTGTTCATACCTAAAAATTTAAGAAAATTATATTCCATATGGTCAGTCACATATGACCTAGGTGGTACCAGAAGATTTTTAGTACATGTAGTATAATGGTTTGCAGTTAAATGCTTTTCATCCAAGGATCAGAAGCATATTTTGAAAAAAGAGTAAATACTGATTCAGTGTAGGTATTTTGCATATATTGTTATTTCTTTAGGCCCATGGATATTGCAATCATTAGTGTTTATACAGTGACAACTCATCCCATCCAATATGAATTCCATTTCTGGTCTTCCCAGACAAGATAATAAATGTTTTGCTGTATAATTCCTCCTTTGACTTGTATTACATAACACGAAGTGTTACTATAGAGCAATAATTCTGAGCTTTCAAGTGTAAAACAGGTGCCTGTTGGGATCCCCTTCATTCATAATTACTGAATTCCAACAGGGAACTTACTAGGTAGAACAAGCTTTAATAAGCTGTAATTAGTAACTTTTTCAAAGTTTTGCATATATTTAATTTAACTGGGGAGTTTTACAAAAAGTGAAGATGAGGCACATCTCATTTACACTTTACTTCGAAAGAACTGTCATCAAAGTTTAGAATTTTCTTTTTAAAGATTGTGGCAGATGCACCTACCCCAACAAAGATGGGGCTTTGTGGCTGTTGAAACATAACGGCTGCTGATTCCTTTTTTGCACCTTTGTTCTCTGGTCTTTAAGGTATTTGGGGCCCTCAGCCAGTGAGATCTGATGCTGACTGCAGATCAGATTTGGCTCGGGTATAAATGGAGTCCCCTGGGGGAGCCATTTTGAGATAGTTCCCTCTAGAGCAGCACAGCTGTGGTCAAAGACTCTCCCATTGTGTCGTGATGCCACCCAAGGAGACTCCTTGAGTTTGAGAGCCCTCACTTTTCAGGTGAATGAGTGAGCATTTTGAATTGTTGTTAAATCCTAGGAATTTCTTGAATTCACTGTGCAGTAATAGTTTTCCTCTCTTGGACATTTGAATCTGTCATTTATTAATGACTGCTGGAGTGCCAATTGATTTTACCTGAAATAAATTTTATTTTAAGTATGTCTTGTTTATTTTGAGAGCCTCTGCAACATTTTTAATTTATATAGTTAGCAGTATGTCGATAGAGGAAATGTAATGGAGACACAGCCATGCCTCTTCTCCCCCAGGTGTACAGTGGGCGAAGGAGAAGTGGTTTGAACTGGTGGCAATTGTGGAAACGTTAGAGGAAAGCCACAGAAGTGTTGGGGGGTGGCAAGGTGAAAGGATCATGTGTGCCTTCTTAGGTGCCAGTTTGTTTTACATGCAAGATTACTCTGGAATTGTGGAAAAGGATAATTTAAAGGAACAATTAGAAAGATATTGTTTAAGGAAAGAACAGCAATGAGAAAGAGAACAGACATGATTATTGGAACAAAAAAATGAAATTATGTTGTCACAAGCAAAAAACAACAAACAAACAGTATTGTCCAGTTTTTAAAGATATTGTGGGTGTAGATCTCGAGGATTGGGACATTTGGGGAGATCCCAATGAAAGCAGTTCAGCAGGAACTCAGCAGGAAGAAATATAGAAAGTGGAAGAAAGAAATGTGCAACCTCTCGTCAAAACAGGAAAACACACAGGTCTGTAAGGCAGGAACCCTCAAACCACAGTCTGTATGACCCTCTGGACAGAACCTGAGG